AGCACTGTCACTTAGGGATTTCTCAAAATACCTTGTTATCGGTTGTTATTGGGCATATTTACAAAAAACTGGCAAGAAAAGCACTCTAAAGAGGCAGGGGTGTTTGTGTGAAACTCTTACCCCCAAAAAGCATGTAGTCCCCTCCATTTGGGAAAATGGATGAAAATAATTCCAAGCCAATAAAAATAATTCTAAAAGCGTTTTGACTAGAGAGAAATGAGTGATTTTTAACATAGTACAATAAACTATGCCTTCAGCAACAAATTCATCATTGAAAAGTCTTATCTTTCGAGTTTTTTGCCTCCTTGTAACATCCCTGCAATCTGCTGCATATCTTTCTTTACTGAAGTATTTAGATTGCAAGGGCAGTCAGGGAAAACCAGTCTCTTTATTAGATATTCCACTCAGCAACACTCCATTCTCGGGCTCCTGCTCACATTTGATAAGGAATGCATTCTAATGATCTATGGTTAGCTGCTTGTGGCAAGAGAATTTCCCCTCATCATTCCCTTCCCTGCGTCTCCTTTCCCACTCTCCTCCACTCTAACTCAGACCACCTCAACTGCCTCCATTATTCATCCAGATCACTCCTCACCTCGCTGTGCACAAGCACCCACGGTTATTTCCTTACCGATGTTCATTTTAACCTCTTGGTGCACAAGACATACAAAATCGAACCAGCTGGCTGAGTCTAGCACACACGGGGACTGTGCACAGGTTTTGCAGTCCGCACTCTGGAACCAATCAAGCAGAAGCCCATCAGCAAACAGACTGCATTATATAAGGCAGCTGTGAGGCCAGTTATGAGCCCAGGGAGGCAGATCACACGGCCGCAGCTTCACACACGTGCTAGGAGAATCCTCCATTGGCCCCTGGTGTAAAGCAAACCCAGACATCTAAAGTTGCGGGTACATTTTATGCCACCCAGTAAGCACACAGGTATAGAATAGAATCTCTTGCTGCATTTGTGCATTCAGAAAATGAAATAATTAGCAGAATTCACGTTGCCCCAGGGGAATACAAAAAAAAACATGCTTTGCTTCTTTGAAATTGTTTCAGCTCTTTACGAAGGCTAGCAGTGTGCTGCGGATGGCTTGAGTTCGTTTGTTTTTCTATCAGGGCGGTACCCGTTTAGTAAGGTGAACTGAGCAGCCCTGATCACAGAAGGGTAACGCAAATTCATTCGTCCTTCCGGCTCCTTGGCTGAGCTTTCTCACTTGGCTGCTCTGTGAGAAGAAAAGAGGGCATCCTGAGAAATCGAATTTAGCTGTGATAACCTGACTCCTAGCTGCAAAGTTTTGGACTATGTTTAAATAAGTCTAAATCTCAGATGGAGATTTGGTTTGAGTAATGAGTGGGCAAGTAAAACTTCTCTCCACCTGGATGGAAATGATGATAAGAAAAAAGAATTGAATCAAAATCATTTTTCATCCAAGTAATTTGGGATGATTCTAAGTAGGTCATTGCACTTCAGTCTGCTAAGCACTCAATTGAAGCTCATTCAGCTTTGGGCAATGATTGAGCATTGCTTTTAAGTGGAAATATTTCTTTTTCCTACCAAGATATCACATGCTTATATTTAGTATGCAAGAAAACCCCTTCTCTTACTTTTGAGATCAAATTTATATTATATGGATATTCTCATTGTATTTAGTGTTAAGATACCATTGTATTGTAGAAAGGGAGTAAGTAGAATTTTAAAAGCAAAAGAGGAAAAGGGAGAGGAAAGGGGGGAGGGAAAGAGGGTGGTGAATTGCGAATGGGTGATAAAGAGTGGGTGGAGAAGGGAACGAAGGGAAGAAAGGAAAGAGCCCAGGAACGCTTAAGGGCATTAGAGAGAGGAGGTCCCACCCTAAGGGAAAAAGCAAATGTCAATTCACTGCTGATAACAGTTGGAGAGGGCTAATTAGAGAAAGCTAACAGCTCTCGGGGGCTCCACAGAATCTAGAGTTAGGGGTTTTCCAACTATGCGCAGCTCCCTCCCCACAAGGAATCTTTTTCCATAATGTAAGGGGAGGTGCCACTGATGGAAGACTGTCAGACATGAGAATCATGTGAAGAAAGAAAAGGCTGAGCAGCCCTGGAAATAAGCAAGCAAGCAAGAAATGAATCCCTTCATTGCTAATGAAAGGCACCAAATACATATTTGAAGATGAGATACAGAAATGCCCAAAGAAGACAGTAAACCCAGTAATTAAATCATTGAATACCCATAAATCACTCCATTCAAAACAATCTTAGAAAACAACAATTCTGTGTTAATAATGAGAGGTGTGGCATTCACAAGGACAATTAGTCATTACATAGCAGTCACATAGCATAGAGCTGGAGTGTCAAAATCTTTCCTGTGATGAGCCTTCAGAGATTCTTGTTATGTAACCATGGGTGGGTGGAAGCTGGCTTTTGGTTAGACGGAAATATTTTCAACATTTTTTTTTGACTAATTATTTCTAAATTCTGTAGCACATACTTTCTAAAACCTTAATTCTGAATTGTTCAATACTCAAAGTTCTAGACCTCTTCGTGAGCTGTCATTGTTGTAGCTGTTGTTATTGATGACAATGATGATGATGTTATTTTGTTCTTGGAGACAATGAGGTTGTACAAATAAAGGAGACAAAAAAGGTAGATGTTCTATAAGCTGCAGCAGTTTATGGTTAAGAACTGACTGTATTATACAAAAGGCTTTTCTACCATCTAGTGGTCATTGTGTAGAACTGTCTTGTTCTAACGAAACTCACAGGACTAAATTTTAAATGCCTCTACATTGTGCATAGAGCTAGTGATTAAAATACTAATGCTACTATTTTGAAAATACTAATAATAACATAACCCTTGCTCTTGATAAGTTTCTAGTCTACTGGGGGAACAAGCAATTTAAATATTTACAGCTAAACCATTATGCTATAAATGAAATTATTAATAACAATAGTTAAGGCTATGTGATATTGATCTAAGTACATTACATATTTTAACCTATCTAACGTTCTCAGTAAGCCTATGAGGTACTATTTTTTAGCCTCATTTAACAAACAAAAGACTGAGCTGAAGCTTAGAGAGGTTATATGGCTCTCCCAGAGTCACATAAAATAAGAACTGGAGCCAGGCTTTTAATCAGGTGGACTGGCACAAGCCTGTTCTCTAACCACTGAATATTTATTTTGGAAATACAACAGAAGGAATACATAGTAAGTAATCATAAGAAATGAACCATGGCAGTGAGGACGGGAACAAAAAATTCAGGTAGGAGAGAGTCCTAAATTGGGGGGGGGTAAGAATTAATAGGACTTGGTGCACGATTGAATGAGGAGAAGAGGGAGAAAGCAGATGATAGAATTTCTGGCTAAGCAAATGGGAGATGGCATTTAATTATGACAATGAATTTTGAGGTAGACATTAAGTGTGAGGGGAATGAATAAAGATACACCTCTCATTTCTTGTTTAGAGGCTTATAAGTAATGAGAAGTAAACATATTTCGAGAAAAATGTGAATATTAGGAAAAGGCCTATGCACAGTCAGGACAACTGGTCATTCCCATTGTGGATCATTGACTTGAAGAAGACATATGAGAATACATTCATCTGATATGACTTTGTAAAACGTTCAAGCTTTCTGAAGTTGGAAATGTCTATCATGAGCTATACCTACAAATAAATATTCAAATGTTTCACTCTGTATTTGAAGTGTTAGACAAAAAGCAATATGTGGGGGCCCCATATTATAGACTCTCAGGGAACCTTTCTTAGAACTTTATTAAAGCTGGAAGGACCTTGAAGTTCAAGTAGTCCAACTTCCTCATTTTGCAAGTAAAGGAATTTATGTCAAGTCAAATAAATAAATATTTTTTGAGCACCTACACTATAATAAGGAACTGAGGTCATCATTTCATGAGCTTTAGAAAAGTACAATACAGAGTTCTTGTTCTCAAAAAGTTTACATTTTGATCAGAGGGATAATATAGTATGCAAAATAGTTTTTCTTCTGGTCTTCTCAGAATCCATTCCTCTTCTTTTGGTCACAGCATCCTGAATTTCTTTGGGGGAATAATCCTCAGTGATTTATGTGGGGCTGATCCCAGCCCTGGCTCCAGGTGACAAGGCCTAGCCAATAGGAGTATAACCCATTTCCATCATGATGATAACTAATCCAGGGATGGAATAATGTCATAGCCTAGCCAATACTATGTAAAAGCAAATGAGCATTACATCAGAAGTTTTTCTGAATGTTTTTCTGATTTTTTAATTACCTATATACTTGAAATCTTTTATTAAAATTTGAAGTCCAAATTTGAATGACAGTATCTTTCTTTCCCTGGTACAAAGGATACTCCCTTTGATCTTAACATGTTCTTCTAACTTCATTCCAAGACAATTTTCCTGGTTTCCCAGAGTGCTGTGTGCCAAGAAGTATTTCCTGGTTTCCCAGAGTGCTATGCGCCAATGTGTTTCCTGGTTTCCCAGAGTGCTGTGCACCAATAAGTGTTTCCTGGTTTCCCAGAGTGCTGTGCGTCAATAAATGTTTCCTGGTTTCCCAGAGTGCTGTGCGCTGTGTAGCAACAGTTCCTGACAACTGGAGACATTTTGTGTTGGCTGGAGCTGGAGTGAGAAGATGGTGGTGTCGCCAGAGTGACAGGAGTCCGTCCAGGCTGGAGCTGGCATCAATGGTGGCAGTGGTATCGCAGCCCTAGTTCACTGAGCATCTCTTCCAGCCCCCAACATCGCTGAGAAGGTGAGGAAACGGTGGCCACCTGGAAACAAGTGGCCCAGCCTGGTAACCATGAGAACCCCTCACAAACTTCCACCTGCCAAAACCCAATCGGGCAGTTGTGATCAGGTTCCCTTTGACTGGTTCTGGGCCCCATAGTTCCAGGAAAGCCTCCCTGTTCCGTTTCTTGCTGCCCTTCTTGGCAGCCTTGCCCCGGGAATGAACCTTAGGGGCCTCCGTTGTCCCTTCAGAGGGTGTTGAGGCTTGACCATAGACTCCATCTTTGTCTCTCAGGATGGCGAGCAGCAGTTCCAAAGGTGAATTCATTGTCGGAGGGAAATACAAACTGGTTCGGAAGATCGGGTCTGGCTCCTTCGGAGACATTTATCTGGCAATCAACATCATCAGTGGCGAGGAAGTGGCAGTGAAATTAGAATCTCAAAAAGTCAGGTGTCCATTGTTGTTATATGAGAGCAAACTGTATAAGGTTCTTCAAGGTGGGGTTGGCATCCCCCATATAAGGTGGTACGGTCAGGAAAAAGAGTACAACATACTGGTCATGGATCTTCTGGGGCCAAGCCTTGAAGACCTCTTTAATTACTGCTCAAGAAGATTCACCATGAAAACTATACTCCTATTGGCCGACCAGATGATCAGTAGAATTGAATATGTACACTCAAAGAATTTTATACACCGAGATATTAAACCAGATAATTTCCTGATGGGTATTAGACATCAGTGTAGTAAGTGTTTAGAATCTACAGTAGGGAAGAGGAAGAGAAGCATGACTGTTAGTACTTCTCAGGATCCATCTATCTCAGGATTAAACCAGTTATTCCTTATTGATTTTGGTTTAGCCAAAAAGTACAGAGACAACAGGACAGGACAACACATACCATATAGAGAAGATAAAAACCTCACTGGCACTGCTCGATACGCTAGCATCAATGCACATCTTGGTATCGAGCAGAGTCGTAGAGATGATGTGGAATCATTAGGATATGTTTTGATGTATTTTAATAGAACCAGCCTGCCATGGCAAGGTCTAAAAGCAGTAACAAAAAAACAACAATATGAAAAGATAAGCGAACTGAAGATGTCCACTCCTGTTGAAGATTTATGTAAGGGGTTTCCTGAAGAATTTTCCATGTACTTAAACTATTGTCGTGGGCTGCGCTTTGAAGAAACCCCAGATTACATGTATCTCAGGCAGCTATTCCGCATCCTTTTTAAGACCCTGAATTTACAATATGACTTTGTATTTGACTGGACCATTTTAGCGCAGAGAGCAGTGCAGCAGGCAACCTCTTCCAGTGGGCAGAGTCAGCAGGCCCAAACCCCCACACCCAAGCAAACTGACAAAAACAAAAGTAATGTGAAAGGTTTCTAAGCATGACTCGAGGAAAAGCAGATTTGATAATTGTAGCAACATTTTTTTCTCCCCAAATCTAGAAATTTTAGGTCATATGTACACTAGCCAGTCATTGTGGACAATCATTTACTTGGTGTAAAGAACTTAATTTCAGCATAAACTAATGCTGGGCATCCTTGGTGATACCGTTCTCTTGAGTTGTACCTGCTGTAATTGTAAACATTAACTGAGAGTGAAACGTGGTGTCCAGTTTTCTATCACATCTTTTCAAATGCAAAAAATTAACTAAATGGTTGACACACACAAATTGGCAGACAAATTGTACATATGTCATATTTTTATTAAAACCTTTTAGTTTGAACTACATTGCTTTGAGATCTCATTTCAGAAAAACAGCATGAACAGTCTTCAACCACAGTTGTGATGTTTGTAAATGCTCATAATTACATATTCTTAGGGTTTTTCCATCCTGGGGTTTGCAAGTTGCCCACTGAAAACATTCTTAAAGTGGTTGGCTTCTTGTTTGCAAGCCAGCTGATGTGGTAGCAACCAAAGACTCCAGTGTTTGAGAATATTAAAGACTCCACCTGCTTACCTAGGCTAGAAATAACAGCATTTACAGTGAAGACTTAAAAACTTAGGGACTACTAGATTATCCTTAGGACTCTGTATTGACTCTGTAATATTCTTGGTATTAAAAAAAGCATATTTGTCACGGAAATATTGTTAACATCTTACAACTGAACATGTATGTATATTGCTTAGATAAATGTAATCCCTATAAACATCTATGTGATCTGGGATGTTTTTATTTTGAAATGAGAGCTTTTTTGTTTACAAGTTCATTAAAAACCAAAAACTGTTTCTGTAAAACCAATAAAGAAATTTTTCCTGTATTCTATTTTTCTGTATTCAAGAGTACAATTAATGGTGGCATATTGGACTAACTTGTCTGTCTTCCATTTCTAACATCTTCTACTCATCTTCTCCCCTTTGCATATACTAAGACTATCTTAAATATTTTTAAAACACCCCTTTGTATAGAAATAGGGGAGGCAATAGGAGGAGCGACCCTTTCACTTTACATAGGCATGCACAGAATGTGTTCAATAGAGTGAGGCCAGATAAGCTCAAGTGGTATGTGAGAAAAGGACCACAATTTCATTATAGTAGACATTATATGTCTGTCTTATTTTAAACAAATAAATTTTATGTGATTATCACAACATCTCATGTGATTTTAGGAATAGGTCCTAACCTTGTAATCAGCCTTATCTCTCTATTTCCCTAAACAAACTCTCCATTTCAGTCAAAGTGGTCAATTCACTGTAATGTAAACAAGCCTTGAATTTAGCCTCTGAAATTTGGCTCATGCCAGGCTATGCTACTCCTCTAAAATTCTTTCTTTTATCCATCTTTCACAACCACTAAACTTCAGCTAAAATTTTACCTTCTTCACAATACTTCCTCTGTGCCAATCTGAAATAATTGCTCTCATACTCCCAGAATGAGTTGCATTCTAGGTAAATTCTTCAGCTGTAGCTTCCATTTCACTAATTGATTCTTCAGCTCTGTCTAATCTATAGTTTAATCTGTTCACTGAATTTGTATTTTAATGACTACATTTTTTATTTCAAGGCAAATCAATTGGTTATTTTGCAAGACTTCTTGGACTTTTTGGCAGTACCTTGATATTATACCATATTTTTCTTCTTTTCAAAATGTTTTGCCATATTTCATAATATATACTTAATAATTTCATCATCTGAAGGATTTGAGGGTCCCATCCAACTATTGGTTGGCTGCCTCCCACTCATGGTGGCATGAATCCGTATGTTTTTTTTCAGTGACATGAAAAGAAATTATTTTATTAATAGAGTTGAGAGATGTGCTGGAAGTATTCAGAAAATGACATTCTCCAATTTGGTTCTCCTCATAAGGAGTCACTGTACCTCCCAAAAAGCTTATAGAATGACATTCAAACAAATAAAAATATGGTGTAAAAGTTATCTAGAGAATAATGGCTAGGCATGTACCTCATTAATCCCAGAGACAAATCTTCAGTTGGTCTTTACCTGACCCAGAGTGTCAGGATGTGTTAGAAATAAATTATAAAAAAGCTCCAGGGCTTTCCTTTTGCTACTATGGCCAAAGCCTTGAGCATGCTCAGGCTTCAGAAGAGCCTACTATCCTCCACTGTGGCAAAAAGAAAGATTGGTTGGACCCCAATGAGACTAATGAAATCACCAATGCCAACTCCCGTCAGCAGATCCAGAAGCTCTCCTAACTGGTACCAGGTCTGAGAACAACATCCATACTCTCCAAATAGTCTCACACAAGAACAAGATGCTGACCTCCAGGGATCAACTTGAAGCCAGAGCCAGCACTTAGGAAACCACATAGGACATACTGCATTGGGCCCCTGTGGGTCCAAGAGAGGGCTCCTAGACAACCCCATGTGTCTGTGCACACTGTAGTGCTCAGACCTCACCATTGCCAAACAACAGCCCTGTAAGAAAGGGCTATGTGTCCCATGTCATAGATGAGAAAGCAGAAACAGAGAACAAGGCTGGCTCAGGACCCTCTCCACCTGACAGTAGCCTGTCTCTCAAGCTACAGAAACTTCTCAAAGCAAAAGGAATTAGAAACCTTGTTCAGGGGCAGCAAGGGTAAGGGACTAATATCAGGTTATTATGGGAACCCATGATCAATTAGAACTGTGGGTCAAAACTAGAACCCTAGATGGCAAGCTTTCTGCTGGGGGACTATGATGGAGAGCAAGTGTCTGGGTGAGAGCTATAGGATCAGCCGAGAAACTATTTGAAGCAGTAGGAAGGCTCATTCCTGACAAAGTAGGTTCTACTTTGTCTCATAACCTGAACAGCCATCTGAAGACATACTGGGAAGTAGGATTCAGGCTCCAGGCAGTGAACACACCAGGCCAGAACCACAGCAGAGGAGCTGGCAAAGTCATACCTGCTCTCCCGCCCCCCAGCTGGGTGTTCTTTCCTCCTCAGGTCAGGTGTACACTGTCATGGGGTTTTCCTTCCACTCTGACAAGGAGGACAGGCTTTCAGCCACTTCCTTCTGGATAGGCCATCCCCAGGCCTCAAAGAAAGGAACCAGATTCTTCTGTACTTCTTCAGAGCATGTCTTCATAGATTCATCTTGATGGCGTTGTCGTTAGGGATGCCAAAGAAGGTCTGGTACTCAGCAAAGAGCTGGGTGAATGGTTCCCACCTAAAGCCCTCCTGGAGCTGAAGGTATGTTTCCAGAGCTATCCACACACTCCCATCACATAGGGGGGTTCCTTTCCCCAGATGGGCTTTGATTCTCTTCTCTCTTTCCAGAGGGCTCAGAGTAGAGTGGGCCTGGGCTTGGGGAATGCCCAGCACTGTCTCATGTACATAGACTGACCACAGGTTGCAGGTGGCCTCAGCAATGTGCAGGAGGAACTCCCACCCCTGACATTGCTGATTGTGGCCCACCTCATGAGTGGGGCCCACAGCCCTCTGTTCCTCATGCCTGCCTCATTGATTAGCTCCTGCACCAACTCCAGATGGCACATGATGGGGTACCCTGAGTGCATCCAGCTAGCTAAGATATGCACATCAGCAATGATCCCCTCCAGCCAGCAGAAGGGGAAGGACTATGCCCCTAGCCTGGCCACAGCCAGCATCCTCTCATCCCAGAGGTGGAACAGAGTCTTGGAATCTTCCAGGGCCTGAAGGCTTGTGATCAGTACTGTCAGGATGATGTTGTCTGTGGCCAGCTATCCCTAGGGTGCCAGGTTCTTTTGGACACAACTTCTCCAGTCTGTGTCTCACCCTGATTGTAGCAGGGGCAGGCACAGCCCTCTTGATGGTGATAGAAACCGGGCTGAGTTGATTGCCTTTGGGCACAACGATGTAGAGGAGGCCACCCCAGAGGCAGGAGACCGACCATTTACCCCTGCCCATACAGCACTGGTGTGTCACCATGGGGGTTTGAGAGAGCTTCCTGACCTTGGTCAAGTTATTGGTGTGCCAGCCAATCTATATCTTGAGGCCAGCAGTGGCAGCAGCTTCTGATAGCGAGATTTCTGCATTTTGTCCTTCCAGGAGATAAAGCCCCATATTCACCCAGGAGTCACCACCGCCTGGGTTGGTTACATCGATCTCCATGGTGATAAGGTGTTCTGAGGGCTACAAACTGGAAGAGTAGGTCCAGGTGCCAAGGCCTTGGGCCAGCTGGGAGCAGTCAGTTCCTGAGTGTGCTAACTCTGTGACCAGGCAGATCACCGCGACCTCACAGGAGTCACTGGCCACTGGGTTTTCTCTGCTCACAGCTGGGAGGACCAACTGCCACAGCATCATTCTCAGGAGCCAGTGTAGGGATACATAAGCCTGGAACCCCTCTGCTGGGATCTGTAGGAAGGCAACACCATCTACCCCCAACTTTGTCAGACAGTTATTTTCCAAATTCAGGCTCCCATGGCTCAGTACAGCCTAGAACTCAGACAGCGCCTTGCAAAAGTGGTAGCTCCTTGTCTCAGGGATGGGAACAGGGAAACAGCCTAGGCTGAGTGCCCAAGGCAGGATACTGAGGCCAAAGAAGTTGAGGATGTCATTACCAGGGAAATAAGCCAAAGTAGAGCAGCCTGGGTTTTGGGAGGCCCACCACCAGGCCTGGCTCCCAATCAGCAGCCCCCACCCTTGACCACAAACTCCTACAGCCTCTTAGACTCCTGGTCGCTATAAATCATGCAGCAGTAGACACACACAACACTGGTTGGATGGAGCGCCAGGCTACACTGCAGACTATGTCCTGACAGTAGGGAACACAGATTTTTCAGACTTGTGTTCACCCCAACTTTGCCTATCTGGCCTCTAGCCAACCAGTTATAGCATTCAGCATAAAAAAGCCCCACGTTGGGAGCATGGAACATACCCTCATGGCACCCAGGACCACCTGCCATGGCCATAGCAGGCAGCTGCCAGAAAGCAGTAGAGTGAAGCATTGAGCCCAAGGGGAAAGGC